AAAAAAAAAAAAAAAAATCAGCCAAGTGTGGTGGTTCCCGCCTGTGGTTCCAGCTACTCAAGAGGCCGAGGTGGGAGGGCCCCCTGAGCCCAGATGTCAGGGCTGCGGTGGCCGAGAGCATGTCACTACCCTCCAGCCTGGGTGACACAGTGAGACTCCAAGTCAAAAAAAAGAAAGGGATGTTGTTCTATATATAAAATGTCTCAACAAAGCTATTAAAATAAGTATTGCTGACCAGGCTCGGCGGCTCAGCCTGTAATCCCAGCACTTTGGGAGGACGAGGTGAGTGGATTGCCTGAGCCTGTGGCTTGGAGATCAACCGGGGCAGCTTGGTGAGACCTCGTCTCTACAATAAATCAAAAATTTGCCGGGCATGGTAGCATGCACCTGTAGTTCCGGCTACTTGGAAGGCTGAGGCAGAAGGGTCGCTGGAGCCCAGCAGGTTGACGCTGGGGTGGCAGTGAGTGTGCCCTTGCACTCCAGCCTAGGCAACAGAGGCAACTCAAAAATAAATAAATATTGCTTAGAATAACATAAATATGCTGTAAGATGTGAGTTACAAACGTAGTATGTTTTTTACCATTTCTAGAGCAGATGCTGAGTGCTGGGTGTGGCCACAGCCAGGCCAGGGCTCCCTGGAGAGCAGACTCTGACAAGCTGAGGGTGAGCCTGCAACCAGACTCCCAGCCACCCTGCAGGAGAGGAACAAGACTGGGCAAGAGTCATCCCTGAGGAGGTTACTGAACCCAGGCTGTCTCCAAGGGCAGGTGTTCACAGAAGGACCCCTGAATGGGCAGCCCTACCCCCAGTGACCTGCCGCCCACGCTGAGACATAGCCTTTTCTGAGCAACAGGTCATGCAGACCCATCGGCTGGGGTTGACACAGTGCTTGGGCAGCTTCTGAGGAACCATCCCTCCTGTGGTGAGCAGTGCCTGAGCCTCCCTCCCCCGCCTTCAGGAGGCGTCCTCCTGGCTAGGCATAGGCTGGGCAGGGGTCCCTGGGTCCAGGCAGCCAGAGGCACACTGCAGCCTCCAGGCAAGTCCACCCAGATCACTTGTAATCTACAAAGGAACCCCAAGGGTCCTGCCTGTGTCTTTGCTGAGGCCATGGCCTGCCCTCCAGTAGTAGCCATTTCCCAGAGACTGGGTTGGGCAGACATGGTCACCAACGGTTACAGAAAGGGCACACAATGCATACGGTATTGTTGTTTTTTGGGTTTTGTTTTTATTTTTCGTAGAGATGGGATCTTACTTTATTGCTTAGACTGGTCTTGAATGCCTGGTCTTGAGCAGTCCTCCTTCCTCAGCCTCCCAAAGCACTGGGATAATAGGCGTGGTCCCCCCCACACCCAGCCTAATAACACAATGTTTACAGACCAACAGCCTACTGGGCAGTCTTGGCCCTTGGCTGGTAGGGGCCAGGGGACTGAGCATTAACTGAGTCACAACCTGGCAACAAGCCAGGGAGGGCTTCTTCTGCCAAGAGGTCACTGTGCTTGGACTGGAGCCCAGCCCGCCTGACCCATGTTCCCACCCCCGCCACCGGCTGTGCCATCCCTAAGGTGCCTTTCTCCAGGGACTGGAAGCACCAAAGAAATAAGGTCCCCTCCACTCCAGAGGCTCTGGTGGTGAGGAGCTGTCTCCTGGCTTTCAGAGAACGTAGACCAAAAGCACTTTTCAGGGCCTGCCCAGAACCTACAGTGCCCCGTGACTGTAGGTCCCTGCTGCCTGACTCCACCTCCAGGGCAGGAGCAGGCCACCCCTCACTGTGGGGAGGGTTGGAGCCTGTGCTTTGGGTTCAGGAATGTATCACAGGGTGAGCTTCATGCCCTCTGGCCTCTCACCTCCCAGCCCCAGTGTAGAAAGACCCCCACAGGAACTCAGGTGGGTCAGAGGCAGCAGGTCCGTCAAGGGACGAAGGGGCAGAGGCAGAGGAGGTGCTATGCCCTGGCATCCAGGGGCCTTGTGGGCGCAGAAGCTGGCTTCCCACTCAGTTGCATGCGCTCCCACAAAGATCAGCAGTGCTAAGCCAGGCCCGGGCCTGGGAACCAAGGAAGGGACAGAGCACTACCCTGCGGCTGAGGGATCTTCACCAAGGGCGAAGCAGCCAGTAGGAGTGTGGGCCAAACCTCTGCTCCTCTACTTGCTGGTTGAGGGTGATTCTGGGCCCATCCTGGAGGCCTGAGCAGCATCTGGCAAAGGACCCTGACAGCCCTCCCCTGTGGTGTCCACACCCACTGGCCTTGGGTGAGATCCAGGGCCAGGCCTCCAGTCTGAGCCTCCATCCAAGGGAAGGGGTGGAGGAGCAAAGGGAGAGGTCTGAGTGTCTGCCCCTCACCTCAGAGATAGCCCGCCATCCTCCTGCTGCATCCAAAGCCCTGCTAAGAGTATGGGTGGTGATCTGCTGTGGTAGACGGACCTTGGCCCCCAGAGCCCTATGCCCAGGAAGCTCGGGGGCACCTACAAAAGGTTCAGTTACTTACAGCCCCCCAGCCTGCTGCCAGGAAGAGGCCCACTAACATCCCACAAGTGGACAGAACCAGAAAACTCAGTGGAAGATGAAACTGGTGGGTGAGAGAGTAACGGGGAAAGGTAGTCCACAGAGCCTCAAGGTTTTCTGGGCAACTTACTTGTGGATTCCAAGGGAAAGGGGCTTTGCATTGGAAAACCTGGCAGACAGGACTTTGACCTAGTGATAGAGTCAGCACCGTCAGGATGGATGGGTGGGCACCACATGCCTTCCAGGTGATGCCCTGACAGGGACACAATGGGCTGTGCTGCCACCACCACAAGTTGCACCTCACTGGGAGAGTCAGCAGCAAACCCAAACAGGGATACCCCGAGATACCAGCTCTGTCTCTAAAGCACCAGCGTGGGGAACAGCGCAGTGGTGAGACTCGGGGAACTGGCCTGTGCCATGTGGCCCCAGGCCAGTGTTGGCCTAGCAAGGCCCTGCAAGAGGTGCCACGAAATACAGGGGCACAGACAGGAGCACTGCATCTGTGTTACAGTCCAGTTCTGGTTACCATACTGTGGCTATGTATATCACATCCTCATCCCTGCAAAATGCACACTGAAACGGGTGAACTCAGGGGTACCCAACTCCCAAATGGCTCAGAAAAAATTGAGTAAGAATAAGAAAAGGCAGCTGGGCTTGGTGGCTCAGCCTGTAATCCCACGCTTTGGGAGGCCGAGGTGAGTGAATTGCCTGACCCCGCAGGTTCGAGACCTGCCTGGGCAACTTGGTGAGACCTCATCTCTACAACAAATAAAAATTAGCCGGGCATGGTAGCGTGCGCCTGTAGTTCCAGCTACTTGGAAGGCTGAGGCGGAAGGATCGCCAGAGCCCAGCAGGTTGAGGCTGCGGTGGCCGGGAGCGTGCCACTGCACTCCAGTCTGGGCGACAGAGTGAGACTCAAACTCAAAAAAGAAAAGGCAAATACGGCACAATGTTAATCCTGGGAGACTGGGTGAAGGGCGCTGGGACAGACCAGTGGTGCTCTTGCAGCTTCTTCAGTTTGAAATTGCCTTGAGGCTGGGCTCGGTGGCTCAGCCTGTAATCCTAGCACTTTGGGAGGCCGAGGCATGTGGATTGCTTGAGCCTGTGGGTTCGAGACCAGCCCAGGCGACTTGGCGAGACCTCGTTGCTACAATAAATCAAAAATTCGACAGGCGTGGTAGGGCGTGCCTGTAGTTCCCACTACTTGGAAGTCTGTGGCAGAAGGATCACCAGAGGCCAGCAGGTTGACGCTTGGGTAGCCGTGAGTGTGTCACTGCACTCCAGCCTGGGCGACAGAGTGAGACTCCAACTCAAAAAAATAAAATAAATTGCCTTGAAATAAGTTTTCAAAAGCAGGAGGAGCCAGGCACAGTGTCTCAAGCCTGTAATTCCAGCACTTTGGGAGACTAAGCCCAAGGGTTTGAAACCAGCTTGGGCAACTCGGTGAGACCTCATCTCTACAATAAATTTAAAAATTAGCTGAACATGGTGGCATGATGTGCCTGTAGGTCCAGCTACTTGGAAGGCTGAGGTGGAAGAATTGCCTGAGCTCAGCAGATCAAGGCTGCTGTGGCCGTGAGTGTACCACTGCACTCCAACTTGGTCAATAGTGAGCCTCCTACTCAAAAAAAACAACAGGCCAGGCTCGGTGGCTCAGTCTGTGATCCCATCACTTTGGGAGGCCGAGGCAAATGGACTGCCTGAGCCTGTGGGTTTGAGACCAGCCCGGGAAACTTGGTGAGACCTTGTCTCTACAATAAAGCAAAAATTAGCTGGGCATGGTAGTGTGTGCCTGTAGTTCCAGTTACTTGGAAGGCTGAGGTGGAAGGATCGGCTGAGCCTAACAGGTTGATGCTAGGGTGGCTGTGAGTGTGCTACTACCCTCCAGCCTGGGCGATGGAGTGAGACTCCAACTCAAAAAACCAACAAAAAAAGCAGGAGCCAGCAAGGAGGGAAGTGGGGGCTTAGGCCCCATGGGCTCTGTGGCCTTCAGCAAGTCACCATCCCTCTGAGTGTCTAGAATGTGAAGTGCTGATGAAACAGTTCTCTGCTGGCGGCCCTGACTCTAAAAGGAGAATCGCCTACTTCTCAGGGTAGCCTAAGGGTCAACATATGGTTCTGGCCAGACCTGGTCTTGGAGAAGTTCCAGCATGAGGCTGTCCAGGTCAATGTGGAAGGCCCCTGGGGTGGGGCTGTCCCTGGGCAAGGGCTGTGTGAGTCCAGGGATGACAAAGGGCTGTGAGGACAGGAGAGGCCTGGAAGGTACAGGAGTGACTAGGGGGACCAGTGTTCCCTTGGCCAGTTTTAGTGCCAGGCCCGGCTGGCCCTCAGGGACAGACAGGCAGCCAGGTACCCAGCACGGAGTGACAGGTGCCAGGCGCGGCCTATGACATGGGCACCACAGAACAGTGGGCTGAGTCAAGTGGTAGGACCCTTGCCTGGTGGGAGCCCTGGAAGGGGAGAGGTGGGTCAGGCAGGCAGCTGGAGGGTGAGGGGGCAGGTGGGAGGGGTGGTAAATCCCAAAGTCATGCTCAGCAGATGGGCAGGTACAGTCCCTGTCAGCCAGGACCCATGAGGGGCCCTCAAGGATGCCCATAGGCTCAGGCCTGGGAACCGTGGCACTTCTCGGAGCTCCATTTCCCAGGCCCCTGGAGCTGCAGGACAAGGGTCAGTGCGGCCCAGGGACTGCTCTGCTCTGTGTGGAGTCCACACACTCATCTGCCCCCGGGACCTGTGCCCTTTCCCAGCACCTCCCACGCCAGAGGCCAGGCCACAGCCAAAGAGTGAATGACCAGGTCCATCTGCCCATGCCAGGACACCAGGGCCCAGGGCCTGTCCTGCACAGCAGACCCACTTCAGAGGGCCTTGAGCAGGAAACAGGCATGCAGCAAGACAAACCCAAGGGAAGCAGCCAGGGTCCCTCATGGAAGGCCTGCACCCCACTTGGACCCACTGCCCCCACGGCGATGGAAAACGCCAGCCTGTACTGTCAACATGAGGGAGGTTTTATTGTTGCAGCAGTGAGAGGCGGGGTCAGACCCGGTTCCTGCCAACACCCTCCTTGGGTGCCAAGAGGGGCTGTGGTGGGCAGTAGAGGACAGACCCAAGTGCTGAGATGGCCGGGTTTGCCACCTCTCCTGCCCACAGCAGACATTCCTATACCAGCCATATCTGCAGGCTTTCCCCCGGGACTGGACACCCACACCCAGACCGTGACAGGTAGATCTGGCCTGAATGCCAAGGCCATCTCCCCAGGCTACTCACACCCACTGGCTGCAGAAGTGTCTACAAGGAGGGCATCCTCCTGAGAGAAGCCCGTGTAGGGAGATGGACAACTTGACCAGGACAACTTGACCAGGCAGGAATGGGGGTGGCTGTGCGGGCACTCAGCCTCCAGCAAGGTAGCTCCTAGGACATGTGGGCAGCATCCAGCAAAGGGACGCCCACAGCCTGCTGGTGGCCACCGCAAAGCAGTCTCTTAAGCAGCATCAGCAGATGACCATTGGCTCAGGGCATGGGGGCCCCTGCCCCTGCCCCTGGGGCTGGGAGAGAGGTGGAACTGCTTCAGTCTTCTAGATGGGGGCACCATCTGCTGATGCAGCCAGGAGTCTGGGACCCTGGAGTGCATCCTGCGAGGGGCCCTCCACCCCACCTGCCAGGGTGGAGCCACTGGGGAATGGCCAGAAAGACCCACCAGCATTGGAAACTTCGGTGGTCTGAGTGCAGAGAGTGGGGGTGGATGGCCTTCCTGGTCACTGCTCAGATCTGGCTAACAGTGTGGTGATCACAGCAGATGGGAGGCATGTCCCAAGGCAGGTGGTGCTGGTGATAGAGCACACCACCCAGCCTGGCTGGTCACCCCTGCATCCTGCTCACCCCCACGACCAGGCCCAGAGGATGATGGTCAGACAGGATCCATCCACAGTGCGGAATGTGCACTGCCCCTGTAAGCAGTCCACACCACCCCAGAGAGCACAGGGCTGATCGTGGCCATGCCGTGGTGCTGAGCGAGTCAGTGGCTTCAGTCCTGCTTGTCCTTCAGTCCTGCTTGTCCCCCCTCTGCCTCCAGGGGTAGATGAGCTCCCCAAAGAACAGCTTGCGGCACAGGGAGCCCCAGGAGTGCTTGGGGTGGCAGCCACAACTGGGGAGGCGGTAGGTGTGCAGCACACAGCTGTAGGGCAGGGGGTTGATCTGGAAGGACAAGGGCAGTGGTCAGTGGGGTGGCCAGAGCACTCCAGCCTGGTCTGCAGAAAGCACTGGAGGCGGGCATTCTGCACCCGGTCGGCCCTCTGCAGGGTCCCTGGGCTGGGCCACTACAGGGCGGGGCCAGCTCTGTCCCAGACATTCCCTGCCTGTGGTACGAGCCCAGCATTCAGAAGGCAGGTGGGCACACCACTCGGGAGGTAGCATGCAGGATGCAGGGCAGACAGCACCATGTGCCCCTGAGCTCATGTTCACTGCCCCCTCGGGCTCTGGGCAGGCTGGAGCAAGTGAGGCCATATGGGGGCTGTATTCCCCCATAGGGCTGCCTTGAGCAGAAGCCAACTCCTCAAGCCACGCTATGTGGACACACCCCAGCCCAGGACTCTCTAAGTCCATTCTGTTCTACCCAGAACTCAAGCCAAGGGCCCAAGGGCAGCCCCAGGCAGCCAAGGGCATCTGTGACACAGGACGGGGGGACCCTATTTGTGCACCAGGCCTCAACCATGACAACCATGCCAGACTACGACAGAGCCCCTCAGGCCCTGGGGATGGTTCCACGCATATTCAGTTGCACTGCCCAGGGACCTAGCAGGGACGTCCCCTGTGGGCATGGCCTTTGGCTCCACCAGGCCCTCCTGCCTGTACCTTGCTCCAGGCTGGCAGGGTGCACCCAGACCCCACATGCGCTGGCCCCAATGTCCCAGAATGTGGCAGCAGCATAGGAGGATGGGGGTTCTGGGTCACAGGAGTGGCCTCACCTGCATCAGGAGGCGGAGGGGCCTGCCAGTCTCGTGTTCCAGGACGCAGAACTTCACGCCAGCTGCAAGAAAGCAGGGCACTCAGGAGGGAGGGTGCAGCTCCACAGTCCCGCCCCCTCTGCACATTCACAGACACCAGCAGAGCAGAGCTCCTCCATGAAAAAGCTCCATCCTCTCTGAGTGGTGCCTGGGTGCATACACTCTCCCTGCCGCCACACCCTTGCCACCTCTTCCAAGCTAGCCACGGGCTGATATCCAAGCCTCTTAAGTCACTGAAAGACAGAAGCCGAGTGTCCAGCAAGCAGGGAAGAACTGCTGGTAGCAGGTGGGCACAGGCTGTGCTGTTACTTGGGACTCAGAATTCCTGTTGGAGTGGACAGGGCACTTGTGGATGGTGGCCACCCTGCTGGCATCCTAATGTCCTCCAACTTCTGAGCACCTGACAGACTTGGTGACCAACCATGACCCTGGCCTGCAGCTGACTCCCAAGCCTAGGGAATCCCAAGGCAGAAGGCTCTTGAAAGAGAAGAGCTCAAGACCAACTGATAAAGAGGCCCTGAGGCAAACTCAGGGAGGCAGAGGAGGCTACATCTGTGGACTTTCACGAGAGGCTGAAACAAACAGCCGTGCTCTGGCCTGAGCCGCAAATGGTGGGGGAGGGTGCTGGGTGCCCCGTTGCTAGAGGGCCTGCTCTCCACTGCCTGGTTCCTCTCATTCTGAAATGAACAGAGGTGAGGCCAAGGGAGCATGGACAGTGCTGCAGGGCCTGGTCTGGGGTCGCCTGGAGGTTGGTGGGGAAAGTGGCTTGGAAAGATGTTCCTAGAAGGGGATCTATGGGCATCCAGCAGGTGGATGGAGGCCATGGGGGTTGTGGAGTCTGGGATAAAAGGATGCCTGGCCTCAAGGAGGCCAACCTAGGCTCAACATTGACAGGACACACATGTCCACATCCTCCATGTTAGCTGGGAGCAGGCACCACGGGTGCAGCCTGAGTGCCCAGCCATACCATCCCTTGCTCCAGACACAGGGCTGCTGGGGCATACTGCCCAGCTTGGAGGCCACATCCACAGGTGCTGGACAGTGGCTATGCTAAGAAATCCTCAAGTGCCCCCCCGACACGTCAAAGCCCCGGAAACAGATGGGCTGACTCAGGACCCCGAGGCAGTGGGGACAGTCTCCCCTCAGGGATAGGAGGCCATCTTCCCTGCCACTCACCTGTGCACACCACCACTCCAGGCAGGAGGCCAGCGGCCAGTGCAGCCTGTGCTTTCTGCAGGGCCCATGGGTGCTCCCCCCCGGCACCCTGCCAGCTGCCAAACATGCTACACTCACCTGCCAGCCTGTAGGGCCGGCAGAGCCGAAGTCCGAGCGAGTACAGCGGCAGGGAGTTGATGAGGTCCACAAGCAGGTGGAGCAGGCCCTGCACGGCGACTACCAGGAGCCGGAGCTGAGGCAGAGGGACACTCAGGACCCATCTGGCGGGCCTGCCTGTGCGTGGAACAGTCCCGCAGGGACCTAGGCCCTAATGAAAGGTGACCAGGGACTCCAGGGCTCTGGGAAGAGCATGGATTCCACTTGGAGGCAGGCATGGGGCCCAAGGGCCCAGGAAGCGAAGCAAGGGAGGCAGAGCAGTCGGCTCTCCCACCAGTCAGACCCACACACAGCGGGGACGGAGGCCTAAAGAGTACTAGGGGAGGCCTCTTCTGTGACCTAGCCCACCAAAGGTACTGCCCCCACGCACGAGCTGTGTGTTCCACAGCAGTGAGGGTCCCCCATAGGCCAATGCACAATGCCTGGAGGGTCCAGAACAGCTCTGCCAGCGTGGCCTTCATGGTAGGTGGCCTACGCCACGGCTACCTGGCTCACAGGCAGAGTTGCAGTGACCACTCCAAGCACCGTGGGTAAGGCCTCCCGACTGCAGGTTCAGCTTACCAGGGTGAACACCAGGTAGTAGAGGGCCGTGGTGGGCAGGAGGAAGAGCAGGATAGTGAAGAGCAGGGTTCCGATGAACAGCTGTGGGGTAAGGGGCAGCACAGTGGCATCAGCAAGGCTCCTGGCGCCTGGGTGGCTTGGCACTGTGCCCACCACCCATTCCACCACACCCTACAACTGCAGCTGAGACTCTGGCTCCCTGAGGTGACAGCCTGTCTGACAGCTTTCCCAGTATGGGAAGGGTTGTGTCCACAGGTCCTGTGGACTTGGTGGCTTGTGGAGGAGATGGGTGGGGCCCGGACCAGCCAGTAGCCACACACAGGATCACAAAAAGATGCCCTGGATGGCAGCACCCAGGGGCTGTCAGGTATAAGCAAGCAAATAGAATGACCAGAGTCAGTCTCCGCGCCTGGGTCACTTCCAGGCCCTGTGCCCAGGCCACCTCCAGGGCCCTGTGTATGGGAGAGAGGGCAGAGTCCATCTCCCCCGTGAGAGGGTCTGCACTGAGGGTCCCACACACCCTCCCACTGCAGAGCCCGCGCCCCTTCCCCGGACCCACAGGGTGGAAGCTGCAGGACAGGAGCAGGCTGCCCCCTGTAGAGCCCAAGCAGCTGCACCAGCCAAGCCAAAAGGCAGGACTGAGGCCGGGGGTAGTCAGCCACATGTCCGTGCTGGGTGCTCCCCCAGCCACAGCCCTGCCCCATACCTGGTCCAGGTCATAGGAGCAGGAATCCACCCGCTGGCGCAGAACATTCCACTTCTTCCCCCGGAATAGACGCCAGAGCGAGGACAGGCCGTAGATCTTCAGGCAGTATAGCCTGCAGGATGCAGCTGTCAGAGCGGCCCACCTGTCCAGCCCCCTCACCTGTCCTGCACCAGAGCCTGCCACATGCCCACACCTTAGGCGCAGCACATACCCACCTAGCTCCGTAGACATAGAAGCAGTAGATGTGGAAGGTGAGGAGGGCGATGATGTCCGATAGGAGGGACAGGGCGACCGTCAGGCCCAGGCAGGCCGAGAGGCCCACATGCCACAGGATGTGCTCGATGAAGGGAGACATGAGGTGGATGTAGCCTGGCAGGATGGGTCAGCCTGAGGGGGTGCCCAGGGTGGTCCTGGGACCCCAACTCCTCACTGAGGATGGGGCCTGAGGCTCTGGAAACCACTGTGCAGACTACACTGCTGGCCCCGACCCTCAGCCAGGGCAGCCAGCCCAGCACAGCAGGCCTCATGCCTGGGACACCAGGAGGGCAGGTGGTGGGGGCCCTGTGTGGCCCTGGGAGCCCCTCCCACCCACAGGAACTCACTGATCCAGAGGTGGATGTGGTACAGGAAGAAGCGGCCCAGCACCTGGTCCAGTGCACGGTTCATCTTGAGCCCAGCAGGCACACCCATCAGCCACTGCAGCAAATGCTGGAGCTCCTCAGCCACGTGCTACAGGACATGGGCACAATAAGGTGGCATGGCTGGCCTGGGCCATGGTTTCCCAAGCAGTGGCAATGTTTCCCAAACTTGTGGCTACCATCCTTCTTCACAGCTGGCTCCCGGAAGGAGGAAGCTGGTCTGCAGCCCTCTCCCAGCAGGCCTGGCAACATAGCCTGAGAGGCTGATGGTCTGCCTGTGGCCCAGGTGGGCATCTGCTTCCACATGAAAGCATCCTTCTCCCATCATGCCCCTTGGGCCACTGGACTCACAGCAGCCCTCAGTCCCAGAAAGTTGGACATAGCTGAGGCTGGACAGACCCTAGCTGCGCAAAGCCCTGCAGGAAGCCTGTGGTTGGCACAGTCCTCTCTGCACACACCCTGCCCACCAGCCACTACCAAAGAGGTTCCAGCCTGCTCCAGGACAGCCTAAGTGGAGCAAGATAGTGTCAAGCCCATCAGAGCCTGGCCATAGGCGTGAGGGTTGGAAGGCAGTGTCCTCCAGAGCAAAGGCATCATCAAGTGAGGTCACCAGCACCCAGGAGAACAGCCAGAAGCTGGGTCCTGGCTGCCCAGGAAGAAAGCCAGCGTCCGGGCTGTGCTGGACACTGGACAAGCTCTGAGGGACCCTCAGCCTTGACACTAGCGTGACACTCTGCCCCCCACCTGCCCTGTGCTAAGGCCTCAGCTGCCTCAGGACTGTCAAGAAGAACAGAACATTCTTTATAAATAGAGCTTATTTAATATTTAAAGGATAAGAGCTTGGCAGCAGGAAGAGACTTTCACTTTTTAATTAAATATTTATAGTTCTGAGCAATTTTGCGAAAGGGAGGTCTAGGACGCCCATCAGGAGACAGTGTGGAGGACCTGAGGTGAGGCAGCCCCTCCCCAGTCCCTGTTCCTCCTTCCTCCTGGGCCAGGCCTTCCCAATCCCCATGTGCGACTGCCCCACAGAGTTCCAGCCAGGCCACAAGCAGGTCAGATGCTTGCCTGAGGCTTGGACACTGAAGGCAGGCAGAGGCTGAGTCCACAAGGACTACCCAGCCAGTCTCAGGAGTCCCCACAGAGGCCCCAAGGCGGGCTGGAGGGCCAGGGACCACTCTAAGCAGGAAGACAAGTTCCAAAGGTGAGGAGAAGCTGAAAGGTTGGAGATAGCGTGGAAGCATGGCAAGGTGGCAGAAGAGGAGGGAGAGGCACACCCAGGTCCAGAAAAATGCAGAGGAAGGCGGGAGCACTGGAGACACGCTGTGCCTCTGCCCCTCAGCATGGGAGGTACAGATTCAACCCTGGGAGTGTGGGACCCACTCAGGGGTGGGAGGTCGGAGATCAGCCACATACGGACAGCACTAGACACAGGTCAGGCCTCTGTGAGACTGACTCTGCAGAGGGCCCTGAGAGCCGAAAGAGCAGAACTGACCACATAGTGGAGACACATGACATGGGGTCTGCAGTGAGAGCTGGGCACCACCAAAAAGCTTCAGCACAGTGGCTCCCAGACACAGCCCCCTTTGGAAAGCAAGGTGGGCACCTGGCAGCCCTACATAGCCTTGGACAGTGCTCCAAGGCAGGGAGGGCTCCCACCCCACGGGCCACGTCTCATGTGTGTGAAAGGGAAGAGTGAGTCCAGGGAGGAAGACCTCTGGCTGCTGAGAGGACACATGGGCCCAGGAAAGGCCTCCCTGCAGGAAGCTGGGCTCCACTCCAATCGCTCACATCGGCCACAGGGATGAGGGCGTCGGCCAGCTGCCCAATCCGGTTCTTCCCGTGGAGCCAGGACAGAAGTGCCAGGCCGAGGGCCACGTCAAGCAGCACGGAGACCAGCGTGTTGGCCTTCCTGGAAGAGGTGCAGCCAGACTGATGTGAGGGAAGCCAGGGCCACAGAGGAGGCCAGACTGGAGAGGTCAGCATGGCCAGCCTGGGGCAGAGTCAGGGAGGGGTGGGGCTGCCTCACCTCATCAGCTGGGTGGGGCTCTCAGCCTTCTGTGGGCTGAAGACCAGTGTCAGGTGCCCCAGCCGACACCGGAGCTGTTCACACGTGGAGAGCTTGCTGCCAAGGAAGGACAGGGGCCACATCCTGAACACCCTGCAGAGGAGCAGACCAGACCGAGACTGTGGTTCCTGTGTTTCTTGGGTGAACGTCCCTCCCATGCGGGGGGAGAGCTGGGCTCAGCCCAGGGACCTGGTGGCCCCAGACACCAATGACAGCCACACTCCTGAACTCAGCAGGGCATAAAGGTGACAGGAAGGTCTGGGAGGTGGCCCAGCAAGGAGGGACCAGGCAGGCAGCCAGCCTCATAGCACTAATCTCACTGCGCACATGATGAACATGGAGCCTGACCCCACACAACGCTAACCCAAGCACGCTCAGCCCCCAGCAGACTCCTAGCCGGGTGTCATGACAGGGCCCACAAGTGAGGACTGGCCTCCTGCCTGCCCAAGCCTTGCCCTGCCTGCGGTGGCCCAGGAGTTGGCAAGGGTCTCCTAGACCAGCATGGCTTTCCCACAAGACTGGACTTCTCACAAGGTAAAGCATGCCCTGAAATGCTTCTGCAGACTTCCCTGAGCAGAGCGGGCAGTTTGTCAGCCGAGGCAGCACGTGTCTGATTGCAGCTGGCTGCCTTCAGAGCCTCGCTGGAGGCAGGCAGACTCTGAAGGACACACAGAAAGACAGAGTTGCCCACGAACCATGAGAGTCTCAGGAGGAGGGCTTCACCCCATAGGCTAAAAGGTCTCATCTTCAACGGAGTGGCTGTGACCCACTTCCAAGCCGGAACCCCACTCAACAGACTCTCCTCAATGCTGACCAGGCAGAAGGCAGCAGAAGGTGGCCTCAGCGGGTGCTCCACCTGCACCAGCGTCTCTCCAAGGCTGCAGACCGGTCCTGCATGGCCCCAGGCAATGCCCCTGGAGCCACTCTGGGGAAGGCACATGACCATGAGGGTGGAGGAGCCTCGGCCCTTCAGGGACAGCAGGCAACCCTCAAGGGTGTCACAAGCCCATAACCACCAGCCCGGCCCTCGCCTCTGGTTCACTGACAGTGTGCAACAGCAACTGATCTCTTTTTGAAGCTGATAAAAGCCAAGGACCTTCCCATCAAAGCTGCACCTGAACTCTGACCCAAACTTCACCTGATTAGGCCCAAGGCTGCTGTCTCAGAACTTTAAAAGTCAGCCTCAAGTCAAGCTCCCTGTAGCTCCCATGCCCTAGGCCACTGTCTACACGGAGCTGCTGGAGACCATTGTCTCAGGTCAGTGTCCAAATGTCCCCAGAACCCCTGGTGAGCACGCAAGGCCCACCCCAAACCTTATAGTGCAAATCCCAGGCTGTGAGGTGACCCCCACCTGATACCCACAGGGTGCCACCACCCAGGAAATGTCTGTCTTTCTGTGGCCCAAGAGTCCTCTGTTCATTAGCCTGACCACCAGGTCTGCCCAGTGTGCCCAGGGCCCTCAGCCAGGCGCAGTCCAGGTGACTCTGGAGAGAAGTCCAGCCTGCTGGGTGGCAAGACTGGGGCCACAGGGAAGCAGGTAAGTGAGCCCAGTGCCATCAGGTGGCACAAAACTCCTGGGGCAGCAGCATCCTGGGTCTGTGCTCACCATCTGATTTATCTTCCAGGGGCCTGGGCCATCTGAGATTCAACCCATTCCCTACTTGGTGGGCGCCACACAATCCGTGAGACAGCCAGAGAATCTGGCTCTACCCCAGAAGTGAGGGACACAGAACCGCAGCCCCTACTGGGACATCCTCTGAGGCCAGGACGAGGGCCAGGGCAGCACAAGCCCCAGAAAGGGCCCATCTGGGCCTCTATGACCCCACAGACCACAGGACAGGCCCAGGGGCCCAACCATCTGCCACACACTCCCAGCCCCAGAGGCACCTACCGGCAGGTGCTGGCAGCCGAGATCAGTGACAACAGGCCAGCCAGTAGCAGGCACACAGGCCCTGAGGCCCACTTGGCCAGCTCCACAAGGATGCTGGCCTCCACGCCTTCTGATTGCCAGTGGCTCAGCCGCACAGGGCCCTCATCGAAGCAGTCGCTGCGGAAGAGCACCTCACTGCGCGCCACTGTGTCGAAGACAGCAGCCAGGCCGCTGGCACTGGCTGTGGCATCCCCAGCCTGGTGGTCAGGCAGGACTGCGGGCGGGTGCAGCTGGGACAACAGCACCTTGCGTTGGTCGTAGAAGATGAGCATGACCTGGTCTTCCCTGGGGGTGTCAGGGACTGCGGGTGCCTGCAGGCGGGTGACCTTGCAGCTCCAGAGTATACCGCCCCTCTCCCGACACAGCTGCAGCCAGGGTTCATGGGGGAAGATGGCCCCCAGACCTTCCAGGAAGGGGCCCAGGCTCTCGTTGGGCTCCTGCCATCCATGGCACCAGGTGCCCAGCACGGCCACGCCTACCTGGCTGGCCTGCTGCACCTGTGCCAAGAGCTCCTTGACATGGATGGGCATGAAGGGGAAGTGCAGCACAGCCAGGACCACAGCGCTGTTCTGCTCTGGGACCCAGCGTCCCACCAGCAGGCCGCTGTCCGCCGAGGCGCAGCACGTGGGGAAGAAGGCCTTGAGCACCATGCCGGGGGCCCTGGAGGGAAAGGAGAGGCAGGGCTTAGCATTCCTGCTGCCAGCCCAGATGGTTGTGGTGTACGGCGGCACAGACAGCATCACAGGGCACAGGCTGGGCCATTCCACTTTGAGTTTGGTCGTAGGGGTTGGTGGGTGCCCCTGGGTGCCCATCTCCCACGGGCCATGCTCCTCCCCCACGGGCCATGCTCCTCCAGGGGCCAGCCAGAGCACCCAGGCACTCGGGTCACCCCAGGAGGTAGCGAAACTCAACCCATGGCAGGTCATGGCAGGTCACCTCCTTCTCCCATCCAGACAGGCAGACTGGAACAGGCCAAGGTTACACACACCCGCTCAATGCCACCTACCAGGGGTATGTGGGGCTGAACATGAGGTTTTCCATTTTCGTTTCTAATGAAACTGATTAGGGAGATTTTTTTTTTTTTTTTTTGAGTTGGAGTCTCACTCTATCACCCAGACTGGAGTGCAGTGGCCGCTCCCAGCCACCGCAGTCTCGACCCGCTGGGCTCCAGTGATCCTTCTGCCTCAACCTTCCAAGTAGCTGGAACTACAGGCGCGCGCTACCATGCCCGGCTAATTTTTTTGATTTATTGTAGAGATGAGGTCTCGCCAAGTTGCCCAGGTGGGTCTCGAACCTGCGGGCTCAGGCAGTCCACTCACCTCGGCCTCCCAAAGCGCGGGATTACAGGCTGAGCTGCTGAGCCCGGCTAGGGAGATCTTTAAATATGTGGCACATGGAAAAATACGCACTCTTGTTAACAATACGAATTAAAACTTTAGGGAACCATGATTTACTTAAGTTGCAAGAATCAAGATGGAAAAGGAAAACAAAGAGCTGTGGGCTGAAGAAGCCCCTGTGTGTGCGTGGCAGGCAGCTGCCCCAGAAGGTCCCTGGGCTGCAGGAGTTTCCCTCTCAAGGCAGGATGAACGCCCACGAGGCATGGCATTCAGGAGATGGGCGTGGCTGGCCTGAGGCCTGCCTGCACCCCAGCCCTCCACCTGCCACTGCACCTGGGCAGTGCCCATCTTCCCAAGATCCTGACAGCCACCCCGGTGGGCTCCTGATAGTGGTGTTTCCTCCCACCATGCAGCTATCTAGAAATGGGATGGGGGCTCGGTGGCTCAGCCTGTTATCCTGCACCTTGGGAGGCCGAGGTGAGTGGATTGCCTGAGTCTGTGGGTTCGAGACCCGCCTAGGCAACTTGGCAAGAGCTCATCTCTACAATAAATCAAAAATTAGCTGGGTGTGGTAGCGCGTGCCTGTAGTTCCAGCTACTTGGAAGGCTGAGGCGGAAGGATCGCCAGAGCCTAGCAGGTCGAGGCTGCAGTGGCCAGTCTGGGCGACAGAGTGAGACTCCAACTCAAAAACAACAACAACAACAACAAAAAACAGAAATGGGGTGGGGGAAGCTCACTGCCCTCGAGACACAGAGGGTCCCCGTCACGTGCTCCCAGGCAGAGGGGATACCGGCTCTCCTAGCTTCTCGCTACCTCCATGTGGCCTTTGAACAGGAAGACAGGACCCCCCCCCAAGCAACTGCGATTCCTAGTTCTGTGGGGCCCTGGCCTCCTTCAGAAGTGGGCCAGCCAGGACTGTGGTCTCCCATCAGACACCCCTGTGAGTGGGCTGCCTGCTGGGCAGGCTTTCTGTCCCACCTGGCCCTCCCGACAGGGCCTGTAGACCTCCCCAGCACAGGGGTGCTGGGATAATTGGCAAGGCCTGGGGCCCACATTTGCTTCCTCAGACACTGATGGCCCCATCTCCATCTCATCTACACAAAGGATGGGGCAGACCTCCTAAGCAAAGACCTACCCTCAGAGCCCACACCTTAGTGAGTGATGTCCACCTTGGACTGAGTGTGGGCCTGTAAGGTTCCAGTGCCCACCAAGCCCTCTTGAGCCCTTAGATTTAAGGGAACAGAGAAGAACACACACATCAGGGTGGTGTGACACAGGAAGTCCTCTCCTGAGGGCTGGGGGCTTCACACAGACACACATGCCCAGGGCTTAAGAGGCCCCTGGTGCAACTGCTCTCCTCCACACAGAAGCCCCGACCCAGGCCAAACACTCTTACAGTCAGCGTGGGAAAGGGTCAACTGTGGGTTTTAGCTGAAAAGGATCCTTCTGGGTCAGGCTGCAGGGCCCCCAAATGCCCATTCCCCCAGTGACAAGGGAGGGCAGGCAATGGGTGGATGCTGCCAGGAGAAAGCTCAAAACCCAATGCTCATCCCCAGCCAAATCCCTGTGGCCAGCATCAAAGGCCAACTTCTCTTCCTGGACCTTCTGCAGAGGGCACTGACAGGACACCAGGGGCATTGTGGGGACAGAGCAATTCTGCCTGTGACCACCCAGCACAGTCTGAACCTCGTTGGCTACAGCCAGTCAGGACACACCAGTTCAGCCAAAGGACACCATCACACCCAGCCAGGGGCACCTCATACAGGAACCAAGGGAAACTGCCCACAGCTGTTGTAGGAAAAGAAACACCGGGTCCAATGCAAACAGGTGCCTTGTGGGAGCTGGTTACAGCGTGTGCCCACTTTGGGTAAATTCATCCTCATACACTCACAAGCCGTGAACTTTCTTTGTATGTATTATGCTTCATCTACAAAGTCCACCTTTAAAAACAAAAAACAGCTCCTTGTGTCTGAGGAAAGAGGTTGGAGGGCAGAAGCTGTTCTTGTCCGTGGGTAGGGAGAGAGAACTCCACAAATGATGGGGCAAGCCCCCGCCCACACCCACCTCAGCCTCTGGGAGGGACAGAAACACAAAGGAGGGAGCTCGCTTGCCGGGCTGCAGGGATCAGACAGCCAGAAGAAGATGAAAGGGCAGGCGATCGATGGCAGAGGAGGTGCGAGTGGAAAAAGCGGGTGGAAGCTTGGGCAACGTGAGGATCTTTAAAGGCTGCGATGAAAAAACCCACACACAAGGGCGCCGGGCTAGAGAAGCCTCCTGTGCTAAGAAGCAGCCCGTGTTCCCCAGTGAAACAAGCCCATCCCTTAGCAGTCCGGCTCAAAGGTCTCAGGGACACCCCTCCCCAACCCGAAGTAGAAGTCAACCTTACTGCGGTGGACCTTCCCTGTCCTGGGCGTGAACTGACTTGGAGGAAGCCCAGGAGGACTAGCCCGCCCGCCCTCGGCCTTTGTGAAGCATCCAGGCTCCATTCCTCAAGGCTCGCCAGCACATCGTTTAAAAACCAAACACAAGTCCAGGCTGGGTACCACAGTGAGACCCCGTCTCAAAGCCAGCAATGAACTTTCCTTCTCCGGTCAACAGTGCTCTTCCCTCCCATCTTGGAAGATTGTGTGGTTGTCTTTCGCCCTTCACCGCAATCGGGGACAATCGTTGAGGCCCTCGCCTGTGCCATGGACACGGAAGCCCTTCCCGAGGGCCCACAGCGGCCGGAGCGGGTCGGAAGGCACAAGCCCGGCTCCTGGGAGGGGCGCCCACGGCCCAGCCTGCACCCGCGGGGTCTGGGCGCCGCCTCTTGTCCCGGGGAGGCGGCTCAGCTGCGGAGGAGACGGAGGCGGGGAGCCGCGAGAGCCGCCGCCGGGCGCCCCTCGACCTCCTGC